CGCATAAATGGGTTTTCCCTAGAATGCTCATGGATACGTTCAGCACCAAAAGTACAAATACTTTTGTACTTTTGATGTGAACTGAGGCAGAGTCGCTAACATTCCAGGGGAACTCCACTGGCTGATGAGGGAAAGTGGGGAACAGTATCTCTTTCACCTGCAGCCCAAGCTACTGATGCTATCCATCTTAAAATAGTAACAATAGAGCTGAGGACAAAACTCAGTGGTAGAATATGTGGCCCAGCAGGTATAAGGCTCTAGGTCCAAACCCCAGGAGCCCACATAAGCACAGTTCTGAAACATTCTACCCACTTTCAGCCTCATAGCTGAGACGTTTGATCATTGTGATGTTTCAACACACATCTTATGAGTGACTCACACAGCTTTCCATATAAACAAGAGCCAAGACTTCCAGGAGAACACTGGGCACTCTCAGCAATCCCATTCGACAACTACTTCTTTCCTCTAGCTATAGAACCTACAGCTGAGAGCTGAAGCTCATGGCTCAGCATCCCCCCCAAAAAAAGCCACTAGCACTAACCAGAAAAAAAAAACAGGTTAGTGTCAAAGTCGAGATGAGAACACAAGCTCAGACCCTAACCCAAGCTTTGTGCTCTGATGGTGGTATGAACAAGCAAGTGACAACGTCATATCTATGCTTTAAGATTAGTGCTGTATTTGGGACTGATGGATGTATCTGTTGTATTATTGTCTGTATTTTGATACTTTGATATTTGAGGGCCTTCCTGGCCCTGTGTACACGACCAGACCCGATCAGTTAACTCCTAAAGATGGTAGAGTTCACCTTTCACATACAATCAAATCACCCCAAAGCCAGTGAGCAACCCTTCCACCTCAAACAACTTCCTTTGCAAATAGTCAGTTTGCAGACTGCTGGCCAATTGCTCTCATCACTCCAGGGCCCAGCATTGGACAAACTAGGAACAGCCCTTGAGCCAACTGAAATTATTCAAACTACTCAACTGTAAGGCCTCTTATCTAGCCTAATCTTTGCTTGTGCAAATAAAAATAGAGGCTTTTGTCCACATGCCCTTACTCCCCCTTCTTCCTGATCCACCTTCCATGCTCCATTAAGTGACCCCCTGCTTGCCATTTGTGAGTTTAAAAAGGTCTTCCTTCATCAAGCTGAACAAGAATTCCTGAAAAGCAGCCATAATCACAAAGGCCAGTTGATAACTTTCATGATGTGGAAAAGTTGGAACACTACAAAGTCAGAGCCAAATTAAGTTGGACCATCTCCCCCTTCAAGAGCCATTATTGTCCTCCTCTGGCATGACCTGACATCTTTCTGACCATTAGGTAGATCTTTGGAATGTACAAACAGGCAAACCCTTAGGCAAAGAATGCCACCAGATAGCATTTGAGGCCTGTAGCTAAGATTTAGCCACGTCACTGTAAATCATCAACCTGATATTTCCACCAATGTATTTGAAAAGTGTATTTATTGATTATCTTTGTTCTGTGACTATAAAAAGTTCATGAGACTGTTACCACACTGGAATGTGGAATTTGAGATAACCCAGACTATGGATACTTATGTTTGATTCTAGAATGATCTATCTTTGAGACTAGCATTGTTTCTTGCATTTCCTCTTTTCCATGTCTGAATACCCTACATACCTGATTCAACCAAATCCCAGGTAGATTATAAAACAACAGAGATGAGTCCAAGTGTGGATCTCATCCCTCTTCTATGAATGAAGACTATTACAGAGATCCAAAACTGTTTAAAATGCAAACGTTGGGTGACTATGGGGTGTTCAACCGGAACTGGTACATGTACGGTGCCACACCTACAAATAAGTCTCAGAGTGTATCTTGGAAGATGGAGCAGTAAAATAGAGCCAAAGAACCAGGATGCTCCTAGAAAATAGTGTCTTCTAGACATTACAGGGAAGCTGCATCCATAAAGTCTCAACAATATGGCTGCCTAAACAGTACTTGCATAATGGCAATGCCAGTGGAATGGAGACATTTTACAAATCCCAGCCCATAGATGAAGGGTTGCAGGCTATCAATGGCTATGGAGACAAGCAGAATCTGAATTCTCCAGGGACCAGCCTCCTTAATGGTTATCCAATCTCAAGTGGTCAGCCTTAGACAAATGGGCATATGAAAAGAACTAAATGAACTCAGTTGTGTGTGTGTGTGTGTGTGTGTGTGTGTGTGTGTGTGTTAACAATAATAATTTGAAAAGAAGTGAATTTTATAGGGAGTGATTGATAGGGGAACATGGGAGGAATTACAGAGGAGGATGGAAATGCTGTAAATATAATACGCATGTATGGAATTCTCAAAACTTTAAACTTATAAATTTAAAAATACAAAACAAGAATGCTGAGTGAGGAATCGGCTCCCAGCAGGGCAATTACTTAACAGATGTGAAAAGACCGGGAAGGAACCTCTAAGGTGGGAAGAACGGCAAGGCAAGTCTAAAAAGGACTCTGCGGCAAGTGGTCTTGGGAAAGCTCCAAGCAGAAAAGCCAAGAGCAAAGCTTTCGGAATGTCTGCAAGGGGGCTGTGAAGGCTGATTGTGTATTCTGTGTCACCCAAAGGGAGCTGGTACTCTGGGGTGCACCAGCTCTGTGCTCTGGGGTCTACAGCCTCTCTGCAAATCTCTCGTGAACACCAGATGGCGCCATCACAAACATGACTATTCAAAGAGAGTGTGGCTTTCATCTACTTTGCACCAAGGTACTGACTAGCCTAGTGATCACACACACCGGTACCCTCCAGAGCCCCACATCGTACCCACCTGTACTCTGGTTCCCTCGACTCCCCTTTGCTTACCCGGGATTCTGGGAGCTTCGGAGTTGGTCTAGCTAGAATGCCATTGAAGGGGACCCAAGAGAAGACACTGCTTTAAGACAGATTTAGGGAAATGGAGAGATCATTTGGTAATAGCCAAAGGAAACACCGGGTTTCCAGATAGCTAAAAATATAAATGACAATAAATCATTCCAAGTATCTAGCAGACAGACAAGCTAGTTTGCCAAATCACAGCATCGGCGTCCTGTTTGTATCCACTGCTTTATTTTGTGACTGTGGGATTTCAAAACATAGCACCTTAGTTATGCAGTCATGGGACCTGAGAACCTGCCTCCCAGAATAAGGGCTTGAAAAGACAGAGATGAAAGCTGTTGTACTTTATCACAAAGACAGAAAGCCAGGACCACTGAAGCCATCAATAATCGCCTTTCTTTGGACACAGATGAGAAGTGACTAGATCATTGGCAATGCCTTTCCCTTGTATAGAAGTGAAATTTCATTTTCCTCTTAAGAGGAGATGTACATGCCTTCAAAGATGACCTGTTTAAGATAAATCATTTCTTATCTTTTTTTTGTCATAGTTGTTGTTTGTCTTCGTTTCTGATTTTTAGAAAGAGTGACAGTTATGAGCCATCATGTGGGTGCTGGGAATCGAACCTGGCTCCTCTAAGGAGCAGCTTGCACTCTTAACCACTGACCCATCTTTCCAGTCCCGACTTTATATTATATTCATATATTTGTGTTGCTCGAAACGAAAGTCAAACCCGTTTCTTGTTGCAGTGAGGAGTGGTTAACACAGAGATGCATTACGGTTCAAACTGATAGGAATAACGCCTGTGGGGGCTCAGCTCTAGATGGGGTGCCTATTATTAACACACAGACACACAGACACAGACACAGACACACACACACACACACACACACACACACACACACACACACACACACACAAAAGCTTAGAGAATACTGGGGAGAGGAAAGGCATGCTGGGTATCCTCTGGCTGTTGCACAAATAAGCTCACAGCAGCTGTGATTATCTGCACACAATCAAGTCAGTTAAAGCCTCCAGTATGGAGGAAGAAGGGCTTCCAAGGCCCCAGCCCAACTGAGGACTTTACTGGAAGGTGATGTTTGTTAAGGGGTGGGGTAGATAATCCCTTTACGATTGTGGCCCATGTTAGGTTCCCAATACCATGATAGATGACCCCACACCAATGGGCACTAACTGGACTCAGGAGGCCGGAAAAGTGAATTAAAATTATAATAGGAAAACATGAATCTTGGGGGCCGATGCAATGTGGGTACTGTACAGAGGAGGAGCAACAGACAGAGGGATGAGTATGATCAAGACACATTATATACATGTATGAAACTTTCAGAAAATAAACACAAATTTAAATCTACAAAGATGGATAGTTTTTCTTCTTTTCTAGAGTGGAGGACCAAACCCAGGGCCATATTTTTTGTTCTTAAATTAAAAACCACAGCCTAGGAGACAAATGGCGCATGCCTGTAGTTCTAGCACTTGGAAGGCTGACATGAAAGGGTTGTGAGTTGCAGGTCAGCCTGGGGTGTATAGTGAATACCTTTAAAGGTAAACCCAGAAAGTTCAGGTGGTTGTAAGTAATGCGGCATTTTTGCAAAGCATCTGTGTCTGGACCTGTGAGCTCGATAAGCTGCCAAAGTAAGTACAGCAGATTACAACCGAAGTCATTCATAGAATCTGGAGAGACTCGAGGTTGCGATGCACGCTAATCAAAGTGAAAGGCAGTGAAAGAAAAGCTTAGCCTTTAATGAGAAGCACAAAGCACACTGAGGCACAAAGTATAAGCACAGCACACATATATACCACACACACATATACCACATGCACACACACACAACACACACACACACTGCACACACACAAAATATACTAATATACACCACACACACATATACCACACACACACACACATACACACCACACACATACACACACACACACTGCACACAGGGGAAATATACTAATATACACCACACACACATATACCATACATACACACACACACACACACACACACACACACCACATACCATACACACACATACACCACACATACCACACACACACAATCCACCACAGATACACACCACACCATACCACACACCACAGACACACCCTACACCCAGTTCTGACCCTCACCTCAATAAGCAATGCAATGACTTACTTGACTGTTGTGAGGTTACTGAAAGGAGGCCTCTGGATTGTTCCATAGGAGCTTGTGTTGTATCAAACTGTCTACTTCCTTGAAAAGAAAACTTGTAGCAGTGAAATGTAATTAACTTCTCTTTATTTCCCTGGAAACCAGTCTTTAGTCCCCCTGAAATAAGAAAGGTCATTGCTGAAGCTACCTGGCAAGTTTGCTGTTTTCCAAGTAAGACGAATATTGTCTGGATAAGGCAAGCAGACATGAGGTAGGCATTCCAATAAAAACCAAAATAAAAATGCAGAACTCTGAACCTTGTCCATCATTCTAAAATTACCAGTTCTTTTTCATACATGAGAAAGAAATACTAAGCTAACAGCCCAGCAGAGTAGTGAGATGCTCCCGTCTCCCATGGAATGTTTGGGTTCTGATTTAGAACTCCCAGTGTGAGGTCAACTTACCTTGCTGCCCTGGAATTCCCTCCCGGAAGCACAGCAGCCAAGGAGACTGACTAAATGAGCCAGGTGTCCTATAGTAAGGCAGACAGGAATGAAATCGGGTCCCTGCCATCATGGGGAATGCAGATTAGGGAGAAGGTGAGAAAGAATCTTCAGTCAGTGTGATAAATCAGAAGAAAGTGACAGCTGCTGGCTGCTATGTCGCACATGTGTAATCCCAGCATTTAGGGGACAGAGATGGAAGGTTCAGCGGTTTGAGGTCATCCTTAGCTCTATATCAAGTTAGAATGTTCAAGCCTTGCCTGAGCTCCACGAAACTTTGCCTCAAAACAAACAACTCACAACAAGAAAACATAGAAGGCTATACAGAAAGCAGCAGACAATAGTCCCAACTCTACTGGCGTTCACAACCTTGTATGGTATTGGGGAAGACAGCCAACAAAAAAGACCAAAATTAAAGGGTATGCTGTAAGTGGAGTTTTCCTGTGCCATAGAAACTGCCAAATAATTATTCAGAAACTTAATATTAAGCTCGGCCAATAGCTCAGGCTTCTTACTACCTCTTACATTTCAATTAACCTATATTTCTTTTCTATGCTTTGCCCATGTGGCTCACGGCTGACAGCTCCTCTCACTCAGCCCTGCTTCTTCCCATCATTCTCAGGTTGGCTCTCCCACCTAACTTTATCCTGTTCAGCCACTGGAAAGTCGACTTCATTATTAACCGTTGTGAGCAATACATATTCACAGAAGGATTATTCCACAGAAGTAGGTTATATGGTGCCTTGTGCTATGACACAATTTTTGAGCATGGCAATGAGATGAAATTGAACAGGCTGGAAGATCAGAGAGGGTTCCCGAATAACTTAGGAGCTGGGGCCCAAATGATAAGGGGAAAGGGACCGCCCTATCAAGTGTTTGAACTCTCAGCGTAAAAGTGTCATGCTGCGCCTGCACGGCCTGGGACCAAGAATATGCGGAGGCTGTCGGGATTAACAACCCAGAGAGCTGGCTTGGTGGTAAAAAGACTCTTTATATTTTTCCTGGGCTGGTTTTATACCCTAGCACCAGAAGAGGGAAGGGGAGCTCAGGAAGAGGCGGTTAGTGTCAAGCCTGGGTTCAGGGC